TTTAGTGTCCATGAAGGTCTCTGCTGCCGTAGATCCTCTGAACTGTGACAGAGGTCTCACTCTGGAGGAAACTCTCAGCACTTTCCAGCAGCTCCTCCATCATGGAGGACGTTCCCTCACTGTAACAGGTGGAGGAGAGAGGAGAGGAAGCACAGGTGGAGGAGAGAGGAGAGGAAGCACAGGTGGATCCTCTGAGGAAGACATTATTCTGTTAAATGAGAGGAAACACAAAGATATGATTGCTTCGTCTCAGTCCAATCGATCTGTTTTCATGTGTACCTCAGTGTGATTTTTTTATGTTTATCTTTGTATATTGTACAGAGTCGTGTGATCTTCCCCGGCATGACAAATGTAAATAATTTTATTATGAGGCAGGTGTAGTTATCTTATATTTATATTAATCTGTTCAGTGAACAGAATAAAAATGCCCTCTTTGATCTACTGTGGTTCTTCTTCTGTGGTGTTTCTGATGGAGCAGCTGCTCCTGATGTTTGAGGATGAGACCAGAGTTCCTACAGCTTCAGGTCAGAGAGACTGAAGCTCTCCAAGTGCTTTCTAATTGGAGATAAAGTATTTGAATTTCAGGAATATTCCTCCAATCAAGCATCTTCCAGTTCCTTTCTATATATAATCCCCCAGTTCTACAAGCGGTTCATTCTCATTTTCATGCCCGTCCACCCTTCTTTTTCTCACTTCTTTAACTTTCTCCCGTAGAACTAGTAATTGGGAATCTTCAGGGGCGAGGCCTTCCCCAATCCACAGCTTACTTCATGTTTAAGCCATTCGCCTTCATGTATTAAAATAATATCAAACCTAAAATGAGGACGTGGGCCCACTGAGTGAAAGTTTTTATCTGGCCAGCTTCAGTAAGAAATACAGATTAAAAACTAACAACCTGATTACCCCACATACATATTTTATGAGGATTTTTTACTCAGTAGTACCACTGCAGGACTTGGTTGTGCATTAGCAACAAAAAGTTTAATTTGAGCCTGAGAGGGTTGAAGTGATATCTGAGAGGGTTGAAGTGATATCTGATGTTTTCAATGTCACTGTGAGTAGGAGAGCTTAGAGCACAGTATCGTGTATGTTTTCCTGTGACTGACAGTACAGTCATGCAGTATATATACCAGCAGTACTAAGATTAGAAACAATTACCAGATGTCTCCAGCAGGGGGAGCGTGGAGCTGTTAAACTACCACATAGTTTCCTCTCTTCAGTCGTTACATATGAGCTGAGGAACATTTGTGTCTGAGCAGCTTTCATAGTAAAATGTTCATGTTTATGGTAACAAACATGTATCTGTGCTCACATGTTAGAACGAAGGTAAACACTCCCACAGATTTCTGTACTGTCCATGCTGAAGGACATATCCTGGTCAAGAATGAGGCCAAGAATCCTCACAGTGTTACTGGAGCCAGGTTGGATACCACATTTATTATATTTGCAGGGACAAGTACAAGAATTTACTCAATTTATCTGAATTTCGAAGAAGAAGATTAGAGGTCATCCAACTCTTTAAGTCTTTAATACATAACTAGTTTGCGTGTATTATCTGACTTCTGTTTTTTTTTTCATTTTATTTTAACAGGGCAAAACCTATACAGGACATGACACACAACAAGAACAAGCTGAAACAGACGGGGCAAAAGACAGATAGTGAGTGGGGTGCTGGGATGTAAGTCAGGTCAAATGAGATGGGATCCTAGATGTATATCATTTATTATTTAACGATTTAATTTTAAACAAAAATAAAACATCTAAATCAATATTTATGAATTTCAGAAAAGCAGAATTAAACTTTCAATAAAAACCTCATTTCATAAAACCATTTTTGCATTCTGCATTCAAAAATTGATTTTCAAAATTGTTTTTAAAAAAACAACAGAAAGAAATCAATAGATACAAAAATTAAGATTTATTACTGACATGTAGAATGGTGATTCCACTCCTCATTTAAAACCCATTTCACCTCCTGTTAGCTCACAGGTTAGCTATGATATTAGATAATGGATTAGCTTTGGGATTAACTATTTGATTTGCTATCTATTTTTAAAATCCCTGTCACGGATGAATGCTGTGTGTGGACAGGAGAGAAAGGCCCAAATGTACTCCAGGATACAAAATATAAACTCAAAAACCTCAGCTTTATTCCTGACACAATCAAAGAGAAAACTAAACTGTGGAACACTAGAAACAACATGACAGTGTGACACAACACAGAGCAAAGAAAACACAGGGTTTAAATACACAGAAGAGTAATCAGGGAATGGGAGATAGGAGGGAAGCACAGCTAATGAGACAAGGGAAGCAAAACCAGACACACTGCACACAGGACAGAGACTATCAAAATAAAACCTGAAACAATTCACAAGGACAAGTACTTGAGGCTGAGAAACCGACTGAAGGAATGTTACACATGGTACACAAGGAAAATACAGTAACCCAAACTGGAAGCAAGAACACATATAACATTCAGAAAACCAAAACCACGAATGACCAATAAGCGAACACAAAACACTGGGTCAGACGTAGGACCATGACAATCCCAAAGCAATGCAAATTAACCACATGCTGCTTTTGATATGAGGAGCTCTGATTGGTTGGACAGACACAGGCTGGCTGCCACTGCTGCTTGTGCTCATAGCTGCGCCCAGCTAAGAAGAGTGTGATCTTGTACAAAGGCCGTTCAGCCTCGAGATTTACACTCTGACCAGCACGGATATGTGAAGACTGAAGCTAAAGCTGTCCACCACAACTGATGGAAGACTGATGGATGTATTACGCCCCAGCAGTACAAGCCATCTACCCTTTTTAGTAAGCTAATGTGCTCTTCAGTTTGAATAGAGTGATATCGATTGTTTAAATCCTGAATCGAGTTTTAAATATAAACCTATTTTGCCAGAAACACCAGAATCTTAGGTTAAAGCTGATGAAACAATTTCAACAACCACCGAACAGCAAAAACAACAACAGGATTAAAGAGCAGGTAAACAGAAAAATATCGCAAAACTCTTAGCTGTGTCTCTAATCAAACCTGTATAACTTGCTTCACATCAACAGCATCAGGTAATGTTCATGGTTTTCTTCTGTTTTATTTCTGCAGAATATTTTTTAGGTTATCGGCTGTAAAAAGTCAGTCCAGGACAATTTCCTTCATGTTTTTCTGTTTTATCCTCAGCTACTTCGACATAAAGACAATGTTTACACCTCTGATGAAGTCTCACAAGTGTCAGCTTTGTTTTTATACGCAGATATAAAAATATGGATATGTACAGATAAATGAGCAGAATTATACTATGTCTGACTGAGTCGAGTCGTGGATTGAATTGAATTGGTACTTTGTGAATCAGAATGGAATCAGTTATAGAAATCAGTGACGATATCAGCCCTGATTAGAACCAGCACTGAGGCCTGTTACATTTATACAGTGTCAGAGCAAACTGCAACCTACAGCCTTTAAACTAGCGATTAAAATGCTGACAGTAAACACATCAGTCCAGATGTTACCACATTACTTTATGATACTTAGAGTTAAAAGAACTGAGACAGGCTGATTAAAATAACAGCTGTCAGTTCTCTCATTCCTTATATTATCTCCAGTCTTAGCAGAGGGCAGCGATCACTTAGATTTCTCAATCTAAACAATGAATGCATTTAAAGCATGAACTGCACACCTAGCCATCAAAAGTTTGGTAAAGTAGCATGAATACTGTAAAGTTTTATCTGAGACCATGAATCATGTTTGATGATATTACACTCTGACTGTTCTTCTTCATTTTTCAATTAGGTTTAATCAAATGTGGCAACTTTGTCTTGTGCTGTAAGATGAACCCACTGTCTTCATGAGCACACCTTTTTAAAAACACATCCTGTTCAAAGGTGATTTGTACACAGTCAAACTAATAGGAGAAATAAAAATACAAACACATAACGAGTTTGGATGTTGGCAGATCTGTAATTGTTTATGAGAACAAACACTGATGAAAGGGGTCAGTTTCACTTCTATTGAAAGAACCTTCACTTTCCCTCAGCTTTGGTGAGCACTTAAGCATTAAACTACTCTCCTTAAAAAGTCGATTGAATTTAACGGTTTTCAAACATTTCATCACTCATCTGTGAGACTGAAGAAGTCACTTGGATGAGGGATAAAACAATTTTCCAAGGAAACATCCAGTGGAGCTAAGCTTTTGGGCATATCCTTGCCTATAATTTATCCATCAAGAGATTTTTTTTATGTATACATTGTTTTTCAGTTATTGTTCATCTTGTTTTTCTTATTATCTCCTATTTCCAGTCTTAGCAGCACCTCTCAGCGTAAACCACTGTAACCTTTCTGCCATTCATCAGACAACAACATCATTGAGCCACGTGGTATTCTTAGGAGATTAAGACAAAAACTGACACAAAAATGAAGACACAAATTAATTGTCGAATTAAAATCTACAACATGTTTAGGAAGACTTAAAAAAATAGTGATTGACTGCAACAAACCTTAATAACTTTTATTTATTAGTATTTGTTCTCAAGTTTAAAAAAGATACATATGTAAAGCTATGTCCGTGTACAGAGAGTTAGAGTGGGGCCTCATCTTTCCTCAGCCCTCAGCCTCAACACCAGCTCTCCACAAGGCTGTGTACTGAGTCCCCTACTGTACACTCTGTACACACATGACTGTGTTAGTTCCCACCCAGACAACACAGTCATCAAGTTTGCAGATGATACCACCGTGGTGGGGCTCATCTCAGGGGGAGATGAGACTGCATACAGAGCTGAAGTTCAGAGGCTGTCAGATTGGTGTGCAGACAACAACCTGCACCTCAACACCACCAAAACAAAAGAACTGGTAGTTGACTTCA